ATTTTAATTTAAAAGCTAGCTCCCCTTCCATTTTATATTTTGAGGAGAAAATACCTAGAAACCTCAGCCTCCATAGAACTAAAAATGCCAAAGATTTTCAAAAAAATTCATATTATATATTTCAAAAACAACTTATTAATATCACACACCAAAATAAATATATTTTTCTCTTTGGGAACATATCACCTGAGCATCAGAGCCCTAAATTCTATTTCTACCTAGAATATTAAATTCAGCCTTGAACCTTAACATGGTTAAGTTTCTGTGCCTTAGTTCCTCCACTTGTAAAGAGTTTGCTATAAAAGTTTTTTAAACACTAGCCAGATTTTTACCTTATACATACATTCTCTTTGCTTATAAAAATGATCAGGTCTTAAATTTGGTTCTTACCTTCCAATCAGTCACAGCTGTAACTGAAAACACAGTTTTAAGAAACATGTTTTCCTCATAAAATATATTATTGTAATCAGATTTTCCTATTTTGTTATTTGTAGAGAAAACTGGAAAAAAATTTGTGTCTTGTGTGACTCTGCAACATGACTGTCTCAGGAAAAAGATCTCTTTCAATGGCAATACTTCCACAAATAATTCAAGATGGGTTAGAAGCCCATCGTATTAGTTTAGTGCTGTATTCATTATATGTGACTTACTGTTTAAAGTTTATCAAACTTTGAGATTCTAAACTGAAAGTCTTCAAGCTGCAATCTACTAAGAATAGAAACCGAAACCTCACATGAAGTTTTCCGTAATAATGGCAGAGCTGTCATTTGGAAGGCAGCTATGCTAACCACTATACCACCAACGCCTCTCAGACCTGTCATCTGGGAATGATAATTAACATAGTTGTTTTATTCTTCAGCTCCTTTGGTATCACAGCCAAATACTACTATTTAGTTCATAGGAATCTTATCTCTACACTGTTTTCTTGCTTTCTTACAAGTCTGCAGATAACTCCTTGAATCAGGCAGATGAACTGAAGGTATGTCACTTTTCCTAGATTTCAGCCTGCCGTCACTGGGCTAGTCCCACAGGTTGTAGGGCAGTCCCTCTGTTCACGGGTTTGCCCTAGGAGGCCCCGCTAGGTATATTCTTTCCCCTTTTGGAAGATCTTTTTATAAGGATATTAATTACAAGGACAGAATCTGCAAGTGGTTTTATTTGCCAGCATAAACCTTATTTTTCTGGCTTAAGATCTGAGACTGTGAAGTTACTCCATAGCAAGGTAAACAGTATTTTGCAGACATAGCTTCTTTATATATAGAAAAGTACTTCTTAGTGAAGCATCTTTAAAATTGTTATAACAAAACTAGTTCCTATAATGCTTTTTCTTTTGTATTTGTTTACACATTAAATTCTTTAAAAGTAAAAAAAAAATAGAGAAACAATTTCTCTGAAGACATTTACATAAGAGATAGGGAAGAAAGTAAAATACAATGTGACTTTTATTAGTTTTTAAAATTTTATTCAGAATAAATAAGCATGTGTTACAACAATAGAAATTTAGAGGATGCTTAAGGCAAGGTAGGGGAATGAAAGAAAATAAGTCAACTATTAATCCTGGAGGAAGGAGCAAAAAACCAAGTTTCAGTTGACAATAAATATTAGAAGATTTAAACCCTTTCACCTAAAAATTTTTGAAAAATAAAACCACCTTAAATTTCATAAAACAACTGCAATCACCAAGCATGGTGGCTCACACTTTTAATCCCAGAGCTCGGAAAGCTGAGGCCAGAGGATTGCCACGAGTTTTGAGGCCAGCCTGGGCTACATAGTGAGTTAAAGGTCACCCTAAATCATATAGCGAGATCCTATCTCAAAAAAAATCCCACAAAACAACTGCAATCATACTATGCGTAGGCCTCCAGAGAAAGTCTAATATGTAAGAAAAGAAGTATGTGCTTGTTTTTAACATTATGTTAATTTAACAAATCTGCGTTAACGAGCATGATGATACAGGTGATGGTGGATGCCCCATCATCAGAATCTTTTTCCTGTACTAAGGATAAATTTTCCTTAATTTGTCCATCTTCAAATCATACTACAATGTAAACAATAGTTACGATAATGGTTATCTTCAGTGCCTCTTACATGCATTCAGCTAGGTCCTTTATACATGTTCTCTCACTCACTGTTTACCACACTGAAAAAAAATTATTCTCTTTCACTTCTTTGACAAATGAATAAACTGGAGCATCAAAGAGGCAAAGTTACTTCGCTAAAATCTAGATAGTAACTGGGTTATTTAGTATTGAACTCAGTCACTGACTTCACATTTAAATCTCTCTACAGAAAATTACCCCCCAAAAGAAAGGCCATCAGTGGATCCATGTTCGAGTTCCAAGTTTTCTGTTAATTAGCTGTGGGACTCAGCATATCATGTTTCTAACCCTTAGTTTCTCCATGTACAGAAAAAGAGAAGTTAGACTAAGTCATTTCTAAGATGTCTTTCACCTCTAGATGAGACTGACTTTATATATGGGTGACAGAGATATAATAATACACTGTAGCATTGAAAACAAATTTTAAAATTACACCACAGTTGATCACATGAGAGAATATTTGTAACATAAATAAAATAGCCTAACAAAATGTACACATGTGAACTCAATATTCTTAACTAAAATATTCCAGCCAGGAATTTAGCTCAGTGGCACCATGCCTGCCTGTCAAGTGCAAACTGCTGAGTTTGATCCCCGGTACCAGAAAATAAATAAATAAACAAACAAACAAATAAATAAAATATTCCAACACCGTGTATGCCTTCTCTTTCTTACCCCTAACTTGCTGCCAAAGATAGCACTATTCTGTATTTGATGTATCACTCCTTTGATTTTTTTTTTTTTTTTTTCGCTACCAGGGATCAAACTCAGGATTTTGTACCATGCCACTGAGCTAAATCCCCGGCCTTACTTTGATTTTTTTTTTTTTTTTAAGACAGTAGTTGCATAGCATAGGTTTGCTTCTCTAAACAATATAAGTTTAGTTTAGCTTGTTTGGGACTTTATACATTTTATATCCTACAATATGTGTTTCTCTGACTTGCAAAAAAATTAATTGCACTTCTAAGATTTACCTGAGACGTTGTCTATAGATATTCACACACTTTCATTGCAATATAATGGGCCACCCCATGAACATTATAAAACTTATTCTCCTCTTGAAGGATTCTGGAATTGCTTCAGTTTTATTTGCTTCCTTGTTTTGTTATTATAAACAATTATACCATGGCCATTCTTGTATGTGTATTAGAGTTTTTCTAGGGTACAAAATGAAGAGTGAAACCTGGAAAGAGTGAAACCTGAGAGTTGAATTCTATAATACAATGTCAAACTACTTTTCAAAATAGCTGTCAATTTACATTCTACATAGTGACATTTTAGACTTTCCGTTACTAAATATTCTCCTCAGCTTTAACACTGTTGAACTTCTTAAGCTTTGTTCTGTAGTAAGGGTACAATGCTGTCTCATTATGTTTCTAACTTATAGTTCCCTAATTGCTAATTAGGCTGAAAATATTTTCATATGTTTATTCACCTTTCAGAATCTTTTTTTTTTTTTGGTACCGGGGATCAAACTTGGGACCTTGCCCTCGCAAGGCAGGTTGCAGAACCACTGAGCTAAATCCCCGGCCCTCAAATTTCATGATCCTTATTCCATGAAATGTCTGTTTACATCTTCTGCTCAACACGTGTTTTCTTTCTTTTTCCAATTGATTTTAAAACCTTTTTAATATATTCTGAGTACTACTCCTATGATCACTGTATACTTGGCAAATATGCACTCCCACTTTGTGATCTGTTTTTTCAATTGCTTCATAATGTTTTTTGATAAACATGTTCTAATTTTAATGTTACCAAATTTATCCAGCTTTCTTTTATAGTTAATGATTTAATGTCTTGTTTCATAAATCCTATCATGCTCCAAAATAATAAAAATACTATATTATATTGTTTTATAAAATTGCCTAAAAATTGCCTGTTATAAGTAAGTCTTTAAGTTCTTCTTAAGTCATTGGGTATGGAATGAGATAAGGAATACAAATTTATTTCTATGCACATGATATGGAAGTTTGGGTTTATTCAGGTTTTTTTGGTTTATTCAGTTTTTAACATTATCATATTTATGACAGTCCATTGCTACTTATTGAATAGCTCCCCATTTCCCAGTGATTCTCAAATATATTAGGTTTCCATAAATGTCTATTTGGAGGTTCTCTAACCTATTCCACTAGTCAGTTTGTTGATGTCAGGACCAACATTACACTGTCTCAATGCTAGTATATATACAACATTTTTTGAAAGAGGGTCTCTCTATGCTGCCTAGGCTGGCCTCAAACTTGTAAGCCTCCTGTCTCAGCCTCCCAAATAGCTGGGACTACCAGAGCATGTCTCATGCCCAGCTTTATATTAAATATTAGTATTTGGAAAGGATACTTCTGATTATTCTTAGGTCATAAGTCTTCAGCTTGTCAAACTCATTGAAAAGGCATATAGGACTTTTATTAGAATTGCATTAAATAGATCAATGTAAGGAGAATTGAAATTTGTATGATATCAAGTTTTCATTTCTATGAGCATGGGTGTATCTCTCTACTCTGGACATATTTAATGTGTCTCACTAATATTTTATTATTTTTGTCATTTAGACTACACATATCTTGTCAAATTTATTCTTCAATATGTTACATTGTTGTTGCTATCATAAATGTTATTTTATTTTGGATTACATTTTCTGTTTGATTTCAGTGGTCAGAAATGCAACTGGTCTTGAAGCCAATCACCTTGCTAACTTCTCCCATTAGTTACAATAACCTTCCTGTAGATTCCTTTGCCTGTTTCATGTAGACAATTATATTATCTGTCTGAAAACAATCTTTACAGTGCCTCAGAATAGCAGATATGAACTATATGCGGATACCTCAGAATTAATAGCGTCTCCCTTTTACAGTATTCTGACACTTCAAAGTAATATACTCTTATGGGTTAGAAGAATGAACTAACCTGCATGGTTTAGGGCATCCAAAAAGCCACGGAACCAGCCTTCCACCTGGAGTTCCAACAAGAGCTTAAGAAAAAGTGAGGCAGCCTCCATCGGACCTTTGTTGTTTTTCTCAGCCTGGATATATTGCACTTCATCTACAAACAGAAGAATGAATGACTCATCAAACTGCAAAACTACTATTCACTAGAAGAAAACCCAAAAAGGTCAGCCAGACCTTCTAGAAAGGGGTTAGGGATTGTAACAACTCACAGAGTTGGAAGAAACTTCAAGAAACCAATCAATTCTCTGCCCAGGCTGACTATGCTCATTCTTCACCAACCCACCCTCCCCATCCTTGGTGGAAACTTCTCATTTAGTATGGAAATCTTAGAACACACTCTAGATAAGGTTTGTCTGTCTGTCCTCCCTTCCTTCCTCCTTTTTTTTTTTTTCCTACAGGGCCTTCACACGGGGATACATCCTCAATTTTTTTTTTCTTTAATTTTGAGACAGGGTCTTACTAAGTCAATTAAGTTGTCCAAGCTGGGCTTAAACTTGCACTCTTCTTGACTCAGCCTCCCAGAGTGCTAGAATTTGTCCATGGGCCACCACCTGGCTAGGAGGTTTACTAAGACATTTGAAAAAAATCTTCCCCACAACAAAGGGGAAAACACAGTAGCACTGAATTCGAAGCAAAAACAAAGACTTCTTCTTTTGTTCAAAAGGCTGAAGCAACTGTTAGACTAAAAGTGTTCAAGGGCAGGATTCCTCCAAAGCATCAGTAACAATTATAGTGGCCTCAGCAGGTAGTTCAAAATATAAGCCGCATGTGGTGGCACACACCTATAGTTCCAGCACTCAGGAAGCTGAAGCAGGAGGATTGCTATGAGTTCGAGGCATAGTGAGTTTACACAGTGAGTTCACACAGTGAACTCAAGGGCAGCCTGAACTACATAGTGAGACCCTGTCTCAAAAAACAAAAACCAAAACAAAACAAAACAAAAAACTATAGGGATACTCTCTTGGTCCTTTTTCTAAGTTTTTGCTACGAGAATGGGAAAAACATGAGAAAGAGAGAAGATAAAGAAAAATACAGTGAGGCCAGTGAGCAGAGAACTATCTACCAAGCTGCTAGTGCTCACTTTGACTTTATACACTTAACTCTATGCCTAGGGAATAGTAACCACTCCCTTAGTATGATCTCACATTTGATTATCTTCCATTTTTTCTCTACTTGATGGAATGCAAATTTTAAGGGAATGAGCAAGTTGGCTGGCTGGTTAACCGCCATCTTCTTAACAGAGATCAGAAGAAGATTTGGCACATGAGAGACACTCAAAGGTTGGCTGAATGGAGAAGGAATGCCTAACTATAGTTAAAAGAGAGTTCTGTCAAAGTCTGTCTCAGTAACAGTACAATTAACTGTTTTAAAGTGTAAAATTCAGTGGTTTTTAGACTTGTGAATCCATTATTCCTACCTAATTTTAGTACATTTTCATTACTATAAAAAGAAATCATATATGCATTAGCAGTTACTTCCCATTCCCCCCCCCCCCTTTGGCCCCAGGTAATCACTAGTTCACTTGGATCTCTATAGATTTGCCTATTCTTGACATTTCATGTGAATGGAATCATACAGCATGTGATTACTGACTGACTTCTTTCACTTAGCAAGTTTTCAAGGTTCGTCCATGTTGTAACACATATCATTCCTTCCTTTTAATTGCTCATTTAATATTCCCTTGTATGGATACAACATTACCCACTCATCAGTTAGCAAGCTTTTGGATTCTAACTACCTTTTGGCTATTCAGAATAGAAATACTATGAACATTTGTGTACAATTTTTAAATGTATATATTCATTTATCTTGGGTATACACATAGGTGTGAGATTACTGAGTCATATGGTAACTTCATTTCTGACATTGTAAGGATTTACCAAACTGTTTTCCAAAGGAGTTGCACCATTTTATATTCCCACCAGCAATCTAGGGAGATTTCAATTTCTACACAACCTTGTCAATGCTACTTATTGTCTTTTTAGCCATTTATACAGTTTCCTGTGGCTGCAGTGACAAATTATTACAAACCAGGTAGATTAAAACAACAGAAATTTATTTTCTTATAGTTCTATAGGCCAGAAGTCTGAAATCAAGGTTTCAAAGGGGCCATACTTCCTCCATTCTCTAGAGGAGATTCTGGTGGCTGTTGGTATCCCTTGGTTTGTGACCTCTCTTATTCAATCTCTGCCTTTATCTTCATATTGCCATCTCCTATGTCTGGCTTGTGGCTACACCACTCCAGAATCGGCCTGTCTTCATATGACATTTTCTTTGTCTCTTTGTGTCTATCCAAAGCTGCCTTCTTATAGGGATGCCAGTCATATTGGATTAAGGGTCCACTTTACTCTAATATGACTTCATTTCAAACACATCAACAAAGCTCCTGTGTCCAAATAAGATCACAACTGAGGTATTAGAAATTAGGATTTCAATGTATCTTTTAGGGGGACACAATTCAACTCATAACAGCAACATATTTTATCATTATCCAGCTTCCCTGGGCCCACAACCTCCCTCTATTCCTATAAGTCAAGTCTGTCCTATTCGTAAACTCAGTGTTTATAGCTGTGTTGTTAGTCCTTGCTGCTTGGTCTCTCCTTAAACATGCTACTAACCACCACTGAATCACTGCGTAGAGGTCCAGATCTATCCCAGCCACTGCTGAGGTCTTCCCGGTACACTGCCTTGTCATATCAGGGACAGGAGATTTATACTTTGTACATGGTAAGGCCCATCCTGCTGCTAGCTGGTCTCAATATTTACTGCTAGAAGGAAGTGATAATTTTCTCAAAAGCAGTGAGTTCAAAACAGGAGAAAATCTTTGGGAAAAATCAATAATTCAGACTGCCTTTGCTGTATTGAGTCCCTCTGTGATGCCATCCTCAGTTTATCAAAAGAGAATTTCTTGTTCTCTTCCTTATTCTCTTTTTTTATTATTATTTATTGTTTTCAATCTTCCTTATTCTCTTTAACAGCCTCACCTAAGGGACTTACACTGCCTGTCTTTTCCCTTAGACTGCAACTATGGACATTTTGTACACATCTTTGTCTATCTTTGTATTCTAATCATCAACATAGTGCCTGAGTCACACATATGTCCAGAAGATGGCACCAAAGAAGTAGATACTCAGAATACTGCCCACCTAGTACCCCTCCAGGATAAGGGTTAGTCTTTGACGTCAAAGGAATACTGCAAAAAATTTGTAACCCACACCCAGGTCTGCCTTGAAACAATGCCTAAGTAACTTCCAGATAAAATGTTGATGAGCATCATAATTACCCCAGCTCCCCAGACCCCAAGAGTAACTCTTGGGTGCACAAAAATGTATCCAAACCCAAACTTGGTGCAGATGCCTTCATGGCACTGCCCCATCTTCATGCTTGAAGGTATAACTAACTCTCTCTAAATCTACTTTGCAATAAATTCTACCTATACTTCTGCACAGCCCATGTGTCTTGACTGCATTCTTTCAACAAGGGCACAAAGAACCCAGTTTCCTGGTAACACCACTGATTTCTCAGCTCCTAAAGTGATGCTCCCTATTAGTTAACAGGTGCTTAGTATATTACCTCCAAGCCTAATATAATGCCTGGCACAAACTGCATATTTGAATTTAGTTAATCAACACAAGTGCATGAAAGAATGACATTCACATTGGTTTGTTAATGTGTCATCCAAGGATTCCTAAAAGAGATCCCTTGCATAGACTTTTCAGGGACCTAAACTTGTAATTTAAATGAGATTATTTTGGGGGTTTTTTGTTTGTTTTTTGAGACAAGGTCTTGCTTTATAGTGCTGGCTGGCCTTGAACTCCCTATGTAGCCCAGGTTGGCCTCAAACTTACAGTGCTCCTCCTGCCTCAGCCTCCTGAATACTGGGATTACAGGCATACGCCACCACACCTGGCTTAAATGAGATCATTAAAATGTCATCTTATTACTACTCTCTGAGTATACCAGGAAAGTGGTGGTCCACTTCTGTTGGTGTTTATTTTTTCACTCCTCATTTCACAACCTGCGGTTTTGCAGGGCATTTAAACACCAAGATACCTACTTTGTTCTAAAGCAATTTCCAAACACAGGCACTTGGAGACTGAATGAACTGCCTGCCAGAGCCCCCTCTCACCCAGACTCCTTCCAACCACCACCTCTTTTTCTCCTCTTGGGGGAGCAAAGAACCATTCAACACAATTTACTAAGTGGCTATTTTCCAAGGCCCTGTATCTGAAAAGATAGATGGAAACACCTCCACTAAAGACTAAATGCGTAAGATCTGGGGAAAAGTCTTTTTCTGTTCAATCTTCCAGTTACTTTGGAAGGGCAAAGGAGACCTGGCAGAGTTAAACTTCCTTTGAGCTGGTAGCATTTCATTCAGTGGTATCTTAATTATTTATGTGCATCTGTTCTCGACCTTTGTGCCACTCCTCTCTCAAAAGAGCTGTAAAGTATATTAAGGGAAGCCTGCATCTTAGTTCTCCATCTCTGATGCCAGTGCAACGCTGACAAGTTTTAGCGGAAATAAATAAAACGGAAGAGTTCTTTCTCCAGTTTGGAACCTAAACAGATTTGCACCCCTAAGTAAGTTACTCCACCTTGCTGGAACTGTTTCCCCAGACGCTGAGTCTAAAACGCTGTAGGGATCCTGCCACAAACCCAATGTTCCTAGAAGTTTGATTAATCATATTGACTTAAAGAAAGGAAAAAAGAAAGGGGTAAATCGGACCTCAACTGTACTCTAGCCTCAATAGGACGAGTGGGTGTCCTTGGGGACCACTTACCCTCTCTAAGCCAGGCGGTCATGTAGCTAAGGATATGGGTAGGATCCAGACTCTTCCTGACATAGTCGCTGTAGGCTCGCAGGTTGTGCCGCTGCTCCGCCGTCATGTTCGTCTGGCTGCGCCCGACCTGAGGACTGCGGCTTGAGTCAGCGCGGAGGCTAGAGGTTTTCAGAAAAAACCTTTCGGGCTGAGAGGCGGAGCTACCAGGGAACTTCAGATAACCAAGGGAAAACCGAAACTGCAACTAGCCACAGCAGAGGAGCCCTGGACTGGGCATGCTCACCACAGCTCAGTTTCGTTTGGGGGGAGGGGGGAGTAATGACAGTGGGCCTGAAGAGCCCTCTTGGGAATTGAGTTTATTTTTATCGTTTTGTTTTTTATAAGAAAGTTTGGGTACAGTAAAATGCGCATAGCTTAAGTGTGCAATTCGATGAATCTGGAAAGATGTATTACAGCTATAACTACTACTGTACTCCGAAATGAGGACCCATATGGTGAATGTGTTTTAACTTCATAGGAAATTGCTACCTGTTTTCTAAAATGGCCATATCAGTTTGCAATTCCACCCTCACAAGAAAACTCTAGTACATTCTGCTTTGCTAGATCAGCACACTGGTCAGTCTTTATTGTTAAACTTGCTTCTTGGTCAGTGTGAAACAGTACAGTAGTTTTAATTGTAAGTGTACCACATAGTGATGTTGGGTACATTTCTATGTTCTTATTGGCTGTTCGTATCACATCTTTTGTGAACCATCTGCTCCTATCTTTTGCTTGATGTTGGAGGGGTTTTTTTATATAAATTTACAAGACTTATTTATTATGGATACAAAATGGTCAAATACACATATGTGAAATATCTTTTGCCAGTCTGCAACTTACCATTTCATTTTCTTAAAGATGTCTTTTAATTAGCAAAAGTTTATATTGCTGAGACCCAATTTGTCAAGTTTTTTCTGTTTATTTCTTTTTGTGCCCTTTTAAATAAATCTTTACCTACCCCAAGGTCATGAAGGTATTCTATATTTTAAGTATATATTTTTAACTTTCACTTTTAGGTCTATGACTCTAATTTTGCAATGGTGTGACATAGAGGTCCCAGTTCATTTTTTTTTTCAAAATTTCTAATTGTACCAGCACCAGTTTTTGAAAATTTTTTCTTCCTCCACTGAATAGCCTTGGGACCTTTGTCAAGAAAGCAATTGACTGTGAGTAGTTCCATTCCAGATTATTTTATTCCATTCTATTGCCTAATATTTGTAACAATACCATTCTCTTGGTTCCTGTAGATTTCAAGAAAATGTAGTATTGAGAATTTCAAAGTATTGAGTATTCCAAATTTGTTCCATATTGTAAAGATTGTATTGGCTATTCTAGGTTCTTATTATTTCCAGTGCGGTTAAGAATCGACTTGTCAATGGAAAAGAAAAAAAAAACCGTTGGGATTTCTATCAGTATTGCATTGAATCTACAGATGAATTTCCAGAGAACTGACATCTTCACAATATTGCATCTTCTTATCCATAAGCATGGTATTCCTTTCTGTTTACTTAGGTTGTTTATTTCTCTCAGCAATGTTTCCAGTTTTAAAAATACAGATTTTCTTCTTTCTTTTTTTGCACTGGGGATTGAACCCAGGGCCTTACCCTGAACGTAAATCCTCATCCCTTTTGTAACTTTTTATTTTGATAGTCTTATTTCTGTAACTTTATTTGGATATAGTCTTACTAAATCTCTAAATTGCCCACTTTTGGCAGGAACTTTCCATCTTCCTGTCCAGGCTGGGCTGTAACTTTCCATCCTCCTGCCTGGCCTCCTAGAGATCTGGGATCAAAGAGTACAAGTCTTATACATATTATATTTAATTTATTGTTGGCCATTTTATGATGATGCTATTATAAATGGAATTATTTTTAAAATTTCATTTTCAGATTGTGGCTACTATTTAGAAATCCAAGTGACTTCCAGCACCTGCCTCGCAAGCACAAGGTCCCGAGTTTGATCCCCAGTATCAAAAAAAAAAAGAAATGCAAGTGACTTTTGTTTGTTTAGCTTCCATCATGAAATATTGCTAAAATCACTTATTCTAGCCATTTTTCTATAGATTTCTTAAAATTTTTCTGGTAAACAATCATGTCATTTGCAAATACATTCCTTACCAATCTTTATGATTTTCATTTGCTTTCATTATAGTTATACATCTTCCTTTCTAATCTGTTTTTTGCTTCATTTTCTTTACCTATTGCTTCATGTAGGGCATCCAATAGAAAGCTAAATAAAAGTGATTAGAGTTGACACTTTCATGTTATAACTAATCTCAATGGAAAAATGATCAGTTTCACTGTAATTGTGAGGTTAGTTTTAAGTTTTTCTTAGATGACCTTTATCAGACTAATGAAGTTCTCTCATTAACCTGGTTTGTTGAGTTTTTCAAATTTTTAAATTTTACAAAATTTTCTGGTATCTATTGAAGTGATCATATATTCCATTAATATAACCAAATTTCACTGGTTTTTTTTCTTGATTGTTGGTGCTGGGACTGAATGTAGAACCTCATGCATCCTACGCAAGCACTCTTACCACCAAGCTACATCTCCAACCCTTGTTTTTGATTTTTGAATGTTAAAATCAATCTAGCATTCCTGAAATAAATCCCACTTGGTCATGAAGTACCAACATTTTATGTATGTCTAGATTCAGTCTGCTAGTATTTTCATATATATTTTTGTGTCTGTGTTCGTACAGGCACTGATTTGCAATTTTCTTGTAATGTCTTTTGTCAGGTTTTGATGTCAGGGCTATGCTAGCATCACAAACCAAGAGTTTGTGTAAGACTGTTATCATTTCTCCCTAAAATGTTTAATAGAATTCATCTCTAAACGATCTGAAGCCAGGCATGGTGCCTGTAATCTCATTACTCAGAAGGCTGAAGCAAGAGGATCACTAAATTCAAGGAGATTCAAGAGGATCATCAAGTTCAAGGAGATTCTTTATAATGATTTCAACTTCTTTACTAGATATAAGGCTAGTATGATGTTCCATTCTGAGTCAGTTTTGGTAAGTTATGCTTTTCAAATGTTAAAATACTGTAATTAAATTACAGGACATTTACTCTAATGCCCTTGTAAGCAAATGAACCTTAGGCTTAGTCAAACACAAGTGCTCAATTTGACATTAGTTATATTGTCTTGAAGTTCTTGCCTAGACAGTCCAGATGAGGCAACTGCTCATACTTTAATCCATCAAATAATCTCTTTGACCTGCTTCCTGATTCACCCTACAAAAGCTGACAGAACTTACATTATAAAACACTATACCCAAGAACCGGAAAAGCTCTTTAACCCTCTCTGACGGAACCTTGAATCACTTCTGGTTTGGAGCTGCCCAATTCATGAATCACTATTTGTTCAAATAAATACCTTAAAATTTAATGAGTAAAAGTTTATCTTTCAATTTTCTCTAAATGGTTAAATGTATTGGCACAAGTTTTTCAACACACTCCTTATTATCTTTTTACCTTTTAGGAGGCCAGTGCCTTATCCATTAGGCCACTGGGGCGCGATACTTTTTACCTTTTAAAAAAGTCAGTCTTGCCAGTTTTTTCTTTTCAGAGAACCAACATTCACTTTAATAGTTTTTCTCACTGTTATTCTACTTCCTATTTCATGGATTTCTGCTCTAACGAGTATTCTTTTCTCCTTGCTTTGGGTTTAATTTGCTTCTTTTAGTAGCTTCTCAAAATAGACGCCTAGATCACTGATGGTGTATTTTTTCTATTCCAGTTTAAGCATTTAAATCTATAAATTTCTATTTTTTCAGCCAAGATCCTCTAGTGTCTCCTAAGCTTGATATATTGTGTTGTCAATGTCTTTCCATTTGAAATAGTTTCTAATAGTCCTATGATTTCTTTTTCAACCTATAGGTTACTTAGAAGTGTGCTGTTTGTTTTTCAAATACTGAGAATTTTCTAAATAGCTTAAACATGTGAAGGAGCCCAGAGTTAAGAGAAAAAGATAGACTGAGATAACCCATATGAGGGAATTAGCAAAGATTTTAAAGACTTAGAAGCCAGGCCTCGCTGCACTTGTAATTCCAACACTGGGAGGCTGAAGTAGAAGGACTGTTACTAACTTCTGATTTTAATCTGTTGTGGTCAGAGCAAATTTACTGTAAAATTTCAATCTTTTCAAATTTACTGAACTTGTTTTACAGCCCAGCATATGGACCATCTTGACAAATTTCAGGTTCACGTAAAAATGGGGACTCTGTAGTTCTTGGCTATATTATATGTCAATTGTGTCAAAATGGTTTGTAATGTGGTCCAATCTTCTACATCCACACTAATTTTCAGTTTATATTTTCTGTCAGCTACTTAGTGGGAAGATTTTAAATCTCCAGCTATGATTATTGATTTGTCCATTTATCCCTTTTGTTCTGTTTTTGCTTCATAATTTATAACTGTCTTTGAGACAGGAGGGACAGGATGTGGCTAAAACTAGCTGGGAAAGAAGGCATGACATGATCCCGGGACACACATAGAACAATTTTCAGAACCCTTCATGTGGTCCTCTCATGAGAATTCAAGCAGGTTTTTGGTAGGATGACCTGGAAATGACACCAGTGTGGGAAATATTAAAAAAAGGGAGTCATCATTAAGCCTTCACTGTCATGTCCCTTCATAGTAGCCCACCCTACACTGTAGGTGTATCTTTACTTTTTCTTCCTTTTACTTGGCCCAAACTCACTCTGCAAAACTTATTTTCCTACCTTTAACAAATGCGAAACTTTGTCACAGTTTATGCTTGTTTTGTTCAATTTTTCGTTTGGAACAGAAAGAACCTAGAAATCACCTCTAGGACACTCCAGCATCCTAGATGTTCAGGAGCCCAGGAACATTTAGATGCATTCAGTTAGGACCGTTAGATTTTTTTCTGATAATATTTTTTCAGTATGAGTAATCGAACCCAGGGCCACTCTGAGCTACATCCATAGTCCAGTTTTTTAGTTTTGAACAGGCTCTAAGTCACCAACTTGCTCAGGCTGGACTGGAATTTAGCAATCTTCCAGTCTCAGCCCCCTGGAGTGTTGGAATTATAGGTGTGTGCAAACAAGCCTAGTTTCTAATAGTGTCTTTAAAGTCTTTGTTAATTCCCTTATCCGAGTTATCTCAGTCTGTTTATTATTGTTTTTTCTCTTAATTCTAGATGCCTTCACATATCTAGTAATTTGTTTTACAGTGGATGTTATGTTATGCTCTAGATGGTTTTATTCTCAGAAGTGGAAGTGTTGCTCTTTGTTCTAGCATGCCATTAAATAACTAGGCGATCAATGTGAACTTACAATCTTCATTTACACATTGTGGTAGGTTGGTTTCAGATTTGCCCTTAATGCAAGTTAAATCCTTAGTCCTGGCTTATTGTCTTCTCTGCTAAGATGTGGCCCTGCAGGAGTTTCAATGAAAAGCCCTACATATTTCGTAGCTCATTTAAACTGGAGGCTTAGCCTCCAAAAATCTCTTTTTTGTGGTGGCAGCTGACCTATCTGTTGAGCTCTTTCACCCTCCCACCTGCTGTCTACAAGGACTCCTTGGAATCTATCCGGCACATAGAGATTTAGGAGTCAGTTACAAGATCTGAGTAAATCTTGCTACATCCATACCCCTCTTTTTATCTTTACTTTTTTTTGAGGCTCTAGGTTGCTGGGATTACAGACGTGCACTACAACTGGCTAGTGAGTGAAACTTTTATATATAAATATTCCTGTTCTCCCTGAGATGTTTACCTAAAGTGCACATGGTTGTGCCGATAAGCAGCCTACCCCATACTCCAGGGAAATACTAGACAGGCCTCATTTTGCCTCTTTGTGTCTGTTATATACTAGCTGATGGTACATGGTTGCAGATTCTATAGGAAGGAATATAGAGCTTGACCTAACTTGAAACCTATTTTCTTCACTTGTGTTTTTAATTGCAAATCCAGTGGTATTTATATCAAAGACATGAAATAACTCCCATTTTGTTCTCTATCCTGTATTGCCTGTCATCCAGTGTTTTTTCACGTAAAGGATATTTAGCCTTGTAAGATCATTATCCTCAACTCTACTCACCTTTTTTTTTTTTTTCTACTCAACTTTTCCTGGACCCATTTCAATTTTAATTACCAACTTCCAATCATGCCTAGAGTTAGGCATCTAAAATAATTTTTGTTTTCTTATTCCTGTCCCTATACCTACTTTAACCTCATTATTCTCCAAGTATATTGGTCATCTCGTAACTTCACTTTTTGTCCTACACAGCCAAGACACCAGGATGTATCAACTCAGCTACTCTAAACAGTATCTCCTTCAACCCCCTTGCCCGTGTTCTTTTACTGTTCACATTGAACAAAACTGGATAATCCATCCATTTATTCATTAATTCATATATAAAAACGCATACTATACATTCAACATTACTTTGTGCTTCTACTCCCAGCGCTGAATACTACCAGGACAAAAAGAAATCACAAATCTTAGTATCTCACAAATATATTCCATCTCAGATAGGGCCTGAACACCAATCAGCAAATCTTAACCCACTCTATGACCTTCAAAGGACATTTCTTTCATTCTCCTTAAACCGAATCCTATTCAGGATCCATCATTCTCAAATGCCATTCTTCCCATTCCATAGAGAAAAAGGCTTTAGGACATTTACTACCTCATATTAATTCATCTACCTACAAATATTTTTGTCCATTTTCACCTCCTTCTGCCATATTAGAATGACTTGCCGCTGCTTCTATCCATTACTTATTGACCTGTGTTCTGGATCATCTCTCCCATTTAAGAGCTTTGCTTCAATTATTGCTCTCCCTTATTCTCAACCTTTCCGCTTCCCAGCCATTTCTTCCCCCAAACCTTACCTCTCTGGCATTTTAAATTTAAGAGTTTTTCTTTGTTCTTCCTCCACTGACTGGGGATTGAAGCCAAAGCCTCACCCTTGCTCGGCAAGCATTCTACCTACTGAGCTACATCCATCCACAGCTCCTGTTCTAAGTTTAAAACAAGCCAGGTGCACATGCCTATAATCACAGCTACTCAGGGAGCTGAGGCAGAAGTCTCACAAATTCAAGGACATCCTGGAGAATTAGCAAGATTGCTGTCTCAAAAAATTTTAAAGTGCAAACTCTTTGACTTTGTACCTCTCTAGCTTGAACTCTATACCCTTCCCTTCTTACTCAAGCTTCTAGTTTTTCAATACTCCCGTTTCCTCACCTCTGAATCCCTCCTATAAACCTGCTATATTCAACTGAAATTATTCCCATGATTGACTTCCTCAGATGATAAACTGGATGATATAATAACCTAAATGATCTTCTCTTGCAGTACTGGGCATTGAACCCAGAAGTACTGAGCTACATCCCTGGCTTTTCAAAATTTTGAGACAAGATTTCACTGAATTGCTCAGGCTGACCTTGAACCTGCAATCCTCCAGCCTCCAGTGACTGAGATTACAGGCATGTGACACTATGGTTAGCTGATTTTCTCATTTCTAATCTTAATTCCCTTATCAATCAGATATTCCTTTGCTTAAAATTTTCCATCCTACATTTGATTAAATGAAATTTTCATAAGGTATTCAATTATTCAGACTACCAACTTCTCACTCTTGTATCATGTCCTATCACACTTTATACTCCATAAAATTCTTTAAACATAGTATATTGAAAACCAACTACATCATGTGGCCACAAATCTGTGCTCTCATTACTATTCCCTCTGCTGGTGATGTCAAATCATCTCCCTTAACCCCCCAGAATTCTTCCCAATGTTTCACCCTTTGAAGACAAGTTCAAATGCTACCTTTTTGGTTTAGTTTTTCTTGTTTGCCTCTGGGCAGACTTAGTTCATGAGTTCCAAGGTACTTTCCACACTGAAAGTATCCCAACTGGAGCAGATACAGCACTTTCCTATACCTGACTCCATCACTGAAGTGGTCATAGCGTAACTCCTGGCATCTAATGTTCAGTGCATGGTAAATACTTACATTAATAGATAAGGTTTTATACAATGATTTAACAATGTTAAGTAATACATGGTTAGAAAAACAGAATAATGAAGACTGAGCGGAGTACAGAAGAGGGAAGAACCTAGGAAGATGCTATATGAGACACTGATTCTTGATCAGTGTTGGATCACTAGTGAGCCAAAGGAATAATTTTCAAGTAATAACACTATGAACAAGGGTTCGGGGTGAAAATTAATATACTATGATCAAGGGAGAACAGGGATTAAAAGAGCCAAATTTTATACAACCTTTGATGCCAAGAGATTTGAGCGTTTTTCTGTCCAAGTGAGGGAGTACAGATTAAGGAAGGCAAGGTTCTTGTTAACCAAATCTGGTCATTAACAGTATGTAGAAATTAAATAATGAAGCTTCCCACATAAATTTGGGAAACAAGATTGTCCTTAAGAGTTGAAGTTACAAAGTTAACAAGTAACGGGTTAAAAACAGAGTGCTCCTAAAGCTTAACAAAATGCCAGACTTCAGGGAAGGTAAATTATGAGACTGAAATATTCCTATTATACCAGAAAAGTGCTAAAAAAAAATGAAATACTATACATTTAAAAGGACAGAGAAGCCAGCTTGAGTATGTTCTCACTAACTTTGGAAAAACTTGAGCAGCAAAATGAATATGGACAAAATTGTAATCCACTGATAAAATAAGCCACTGAATAAAATAAGGATCTATGGGTCCACACTAATAAAAGATAAATGAAGGGAAAACTCCTACTTACAGAAAACTGCCACCTAATAAATATAAAAGTAATTATGGAGTTAGAGAATGACAATTTTACAATCATAGTAAAAATAGAAGTGGGCAAGAACCATCAGCAGATGTTAAATTTAGACAGAAGAAAGCTTAAGAAGAACAAGATACTTACATGATTTAAGTTTCTCCCCACATACTGGTTAGAGAGAGAAAGTGACTAGTGGAGAAACTAGATAACCCAACCAAGTTATCAAATTTTAGTGTCACCAATGTCACTAAAGCCAAATGGACAAGTGCCTCCAGATACAATACTTGAGATTTATGACACTGTAGTATTCTAGCCCCAAATCTATAATCTAAATACAACTGTGAACAAAATCAGAAATTGAGACATTCAGTAACACCTACAAAAGTGTCAATATAATGAAAAAACAAAGCCTAAATAACTGTTCCAGATTAAGGCAGGCTTTAAGTTTTTTCATGGGCTGTATCCTATGGGGGAAGGGGAGGAATTGGTACAAAAGACATTAGGAGTAACACTTGGAATAATATAAACTACAGATTAGCTTATCAATATTAATTTCCTTGATTAATTTCCCTGTTACGTATATCCTTATTCTTTGAAAGTTGATAAATATTAAGGGATAAAGGGTCATTGTACATGTAACTTAAACAATTAAGAAAAATATTGCAGTACTGATCAATATACTCATGTGACAAAATGTTAAAAAGTTTGTAAATGTAAAATAATTTCGGAACAAATTAAAGTCCAAAAATAATAAAAGGCTTATAAGGTTGCTTTTAGTATCAGAATGAGAATCTACAGTCAGCAAAAAGTAAACAAAAATCACAAGAGCAAATATATATAACTGTAAAAGCCACTTTCTTTAGAAGAGCCAGTCGCTAGACCAAATACTCTGGTCCCACTTATAAAGCTGTACCCTGTGAAGATGTTAGTCTGAGATCATATAGCTGATAATACTACTACTTTTGGTGGGGGGTACCAGGGATCAAACTCGGGACCTTGCACTTGTGAAGCAGGTGGCGGAACCACTGAGCTAAATCCCAGGTCCCTACTATTACTACTCTTTTTGTTTTTGTTTTTAGTACTGAGGATCAATCTCAGATCCTTGCACTCGTGAGGCAGGCAGCAGAACCACTGAGCTAAGTCCCCGGCCCCACTACTACTACACTTTATTCCATGCTGAGAAGCAAGCTTTGATTATAATTTGGCTTCCCATGAAGGTATCCCTAAAGATGCATGCACTGGGCATGCTTGGCCTCATAACATCAACATCATCATAGAAATTTAATCAGTTAACATTTAATTGTATCCAGATATAATGAGCTTAAAGTTAGAAATAGATCAATACTGTGAATGATGATCCATAATGTGAAGTTAATTCCTCTCCCTCTGCTCTCACTCCCTGCCCCTGCTGATAGGAAGATTCATGCTGGGAACAGCCTATACCAAATCAAACTTGGGTTCCAGAAACCCAAAATGATTTCTGAAAAATTTTCTAAGTACAGAGATGCACTACTACAATTACTTTTGAATGAATTCCCAGCAAGGGCTAGTTGTCAGCTTGCCTTACAAGAGTTCCTGAACCTTTGTACACAATGCACATTAGTACAAATTGGATGGGCTAATGATAATGAAGCTCTTGGGCTAGCTAACGCAGAAAGTTGAGAATCAAACTTATACTAGGAAGTAACATAGTAACAAGTCTTCATGTGGTAAACCTGGGATCATTTAGGAGCACACATGAAAGGCTTGGTTACAAAATTACAAGCAAATCACAAAAGTCACACACACACACAAACTGAACATCTGAAATAAAATCATGGACACTGAATTCAGACAAAGTTAAAGAATGTTGGGCTGGGGATTTAGCTTAGTGGTGTCAATGCTTGCCTCGAAAGCACAAGGTCCTGAGTTCTATCCCCGGTACCAAAAAAAAGAATATTAACTAAAAGTTTATAGTAGAGCCAATTTAAAAATCTCTAGTACCTACTCATTCACCCATGGTTTTAATGATGTGACAGTGAAAGGGTATACTAATAGTTTCTCATTAAGACTTTCAGGGTGGTGGAAAAGAACACATTGTTTAACAACTTTAATGATTTCTCTCAAGCCTGGGATGGTTCAAAAGCAAATGATTAATGGGAAATAATGGGAGGAAAAAGAACACTTTAACAGTTTAGTCAGGATGGAGTTCAGGTCCCAGCAGAACAAAAATGCCACATGTAAAGGCTCTGATGTAGTAAGCAGCAGCATCTCCACACATATAAAGCAGGCTACTGTGGCCCGAGTATGGTGAAAAGAACACTTAACATGGACTGGAGTCTGATTGGGCAGGGATTTATAAACCATTATCATGTTGGATTTTTTTGGTCTGCTTTTTTTTTTTTTTTTGGTACTGGGGATTAAACTCAGGACCATGCGCTTTCAAGGCAGGTGGCAGAACCACTGAGCTAAATCCCCAGACTCCTTGGTCTGTTTTTAATACCCTAATAATGGGAAGCTTCTGAAGGATTTTAAGTAGGGAGACAAAATGGAAACAAAAATTGTTTTTGGAAGACCTTTTGACTGCTGCCTCAAGAAAAGATGGGAGAAAGAAGTGTGGTGCAATAGTCAATGAAGGCTGATCCATTAAGGCCATATAGGTGAGAAAGCTGCTCAGACAGGATGGTATAGGATTCCCTCCCCCAACCCCGCCTCCCCAAAAAAGAGATTTGAACAAGTGGACTGACAGAAAGGAAGGAATCAGAGTTGGGTATTTTGGGCCTGAACACCCTAACTACAAATTAATTTTATAATTTTCAAACTACAGTCCTGCCACTATTAATATATGAGCTTACTAAAAATTGCCAACAGTTTTGTTTTTGAGACAAGTCTTGCTACATAGTTCAGGCTGGGCTTGAACTCACTTATGTGGCCCAGGCAGGCCTCAAACTCCTAGTGATCCTCCTGCCTCAGCCTCCCAAGTATTGGGATTACAGGTGTATGCCACCACCCAAGCTAGCAGCAGTTTTAAATTCTTGTCATTTTAAACCAGTTTTCTATTGCCATTAAGATAAATTCTAAACATGGCCGACAAATCTTGTTCACCACTTCATCCTTTGGTTAATCCTCTTTTTTTTAGTTCTTGAAATATGCTAGACTCCCCTTCTGTCTTTGGATCACTGAACATATTTGTAACAGTAATTATTATTTTAATATCAACTTGTTTTCTGGATTCCAACTCAACTATCACTTCTGAGATTAGGTCTCCATTATATATTCTTATAAGGAAATTATACTCTCTTCAGAGAACCTAGTAGAGTTTATATTTATCTAAATATTATTTTACTTCAACAATCTATTAGTTACTTGAGGGCAACAAGTATATCTGCTTTGCTCTACCACTAAAAACCTAATACAGACCTGCCACACAGCAGGCATTCCAATTTTAACTGAAGAATGAATGAATATGGCAGCAAAGAAAATTAAAGGCTGACTTTAGATTTAATTTAGTGCTCTGCTGTTCACTGGCAATCCTGTACCAGGCTAGATGTAGGGTAATTTTATCTGCTCTAAAATAAGATAAAAATAAACAGAGCCACTTCATGTAAAAGAACTACCAATAAAGTCTGGCAAGAGCTTTGTTTTTAGTAAGCTAAATACTCCAAAACTGCATT